GGAGCTGGGTATTCAGCAGTCCGAAGCCTTCCACTCCCTCCCTGCTCCATTTGTCTTCCTACCACTGGTGAGCCTGGGTGGGGGAGGGGCTTGCGTCCTGCGAAGCCACAGCTCTGGTACATTACCCGGTTAGTTCGCTGAGGTCTGCTTTTTTCTCCAAGTGTGTGCAGTCTGATGCGGTCCTCTTTCCTGCTGCTCTCTCAGGATTAGTTGCGCCAATTAAATTTTCTACTTGTATCCAGTTTTAGGAGGAAGCCTTTGTCCCTCCTCTCACGCCGCTGTCTTTTTTGTTCTATTTATTTTTGTTTCTTGGACACCATTTAAACATTTTTTATGGCTCCTTAATTTATCATCCATGTTTTTTAACTTGTCTCTCATATATCTAAATACTTAATTGTCTTGTGATTTCGGAAACCATTGTCCAATTTACCACATCTCTTCTCATGTATGTCACATTTGCTATTTAGCTTGTCTATTCACTTTATAGAAGTTAAAAGTTACGCACTTAGAAAGTGCAGGAGACCTCAGAGTGAGGAACGCACTGAGAGGTTGGGGATTCCCCCTTTTAAGGATTTTTTTTTTCAGGAATGTGAAAAGGAGCTAGGGGTGTGGTCTTTGTGGTCTTGTTAAGTGGTCTCAAGTATCTTTGATGAGACACTAAGTTTCTTCTTATCAGTCTTCCAGGTAGTTCTGCATAATTACCTTAACACAAGAAATTACTTCTCAGGTTCCCTCCCAGGATAACAGCTTCCTGGTCTGGGAGCATAGCAATCAAGACTTCCACTTGTTCTTTAGTCATGTCCATCTGCTTTTGTTTTATAATTTCCTAATCTTAATTTATTCCTTTAACATCTTGAAGATTGATATTTTTTAACTTTGAAATTTTCAGAATGTATATGAAAACTTGTGCTTACCCATACCCTTGGCTAAATTAGGTGTTTCTGCTCTTTTGTCTTTATTGTGACTGTAAAATGCTATGTCACTGTTATGATTTCATTTTCCTGAGTAGTAGTGTCTTTGAGCATCTTTTTCTGTGTTTATTGCCCTTTTTTGGATTTTTCTATTTATATGTTTTTCCTATTTTGCTAAGTTCTTATGTTCTTATCAATTTCTAATAACTTTGAAGTTTGAACTTTGAATATAGATCAGTAGTTTGCACTTGTGGTCCCTTGGGAATTGCTGAGACCCTTTCAAAGGGGTCAGTAAGGTAAAAACTGTTTTTATAGTCATAATATGACAGTATTTACTATTTTCATGATTGACATTTTCAGTTAACGTGGGTAAACTTCTGTGGGACAGTCCTCTGCAAGTATCTGGAAAGGCTGTTAAAATGCCTCCTTTCCAAGTGTTAATCTGTATGGCAATAAACTAATACAGTGCATGTGACTGAATGCACAAGCAAGTATAAGACTGCAACTGATCACTATTAAGCCAGACAGTAAAGAGGTTTTCAAAATATAAAGCAATACTACTCTTCCCACCGATTCTTTTAGAAAACAATTATATGCCTAAAATTATTTTTTTATGTTAACTCTTTAATGACTTTGTGTTATTTTAGAATGGGTTATTTTTAATGTAGGTGTTATTTTTAATGTATTAAACATTAAAAAGTTTTTCAGTTTTGGTTTCTAATACTTTAAATATTGATAATAAAGCCCACTTAAAAGTCTTTGGTATTTCCCAGTAGTTTTTAAGAATGTAAAGGGATCCTGGAACCAAAACTTTTGAGGATAGCTGCTATAGATTTGTATTTCACTTTCTATCATTTTAATTTTTCTGAGTCATATGTCTTTTTTTTTCTTCTCAAGCTTCCGATTTTCATCTGAGGATTTTAGTGCGTATGCTTTTCAGGGATTCCCTGCGAGGACTTGGAGGACTCAGCAGAGTTGTATGCATGGCTACTGTGGAGGATACACAATAGGAAGAGCAAGGGCAAGGGTGTGAGCAGAGACTGGGAAACCCATGTACAGGCCTTCTAAGCTCTCTCCTTCCTGCTTGAGGTCACTTGAGCCACCCGCTCCCTTAGCAGAGAAAATCCAGTAACCATCTCTGTTATTTCTGCCCAGGGAGCCATTAGAGATTAAGCTACGAGGTATTGTCTAGAAGCTAGTCTGTAGGCTGTCTGCCTAGTAACTATGAAAACTCTGAACTCCCAGAGGTGCAGGTTCGGGCTTCAGGTGGCTAAACAGCTTTGTTAAAGAGAGAAAGATGTTTCTTTCTTTCAGCATAGGGCCAATCTCACAGCCTGTTGTGTTAACTCCTTTATGCACGTGAGCTGATTCTGGATCACTGTGTATATTATCGTGTACTTCTCCCAGAGATTTGGAGCTATCATCAGAAGAGAATAATGTTAATACAGTTTTTGAGGGCATTTTGGGACCTTTTTGGCTTATATTCACACTTATTTCTATCAAAGCTTGACAGATGCCAAAGTACAGTAAAACAAGACAGGTTTATAAGATTTGTGTTTCAATGTGACATTTGTTTTCAGTATTCTTTTTCACTGTTTCATGGACCTTTTTGGTATGGTGACACAAATCTTCCTTCAGTTACAGAACTGTTTTCCTGTTTGTCCCTTGGTTAGCTTCTTTTCTGGACCTTCTTCACTCTGATATATCTGGGATCACTCTTCCTTCTTACTTTGATCTATAATTTTGCTTCTAATTTCACTCTGTGCTATCTGAGAATTCCATTATTTGGTTTCCAAACATATAGTTAGATTTTTAACCTTGGTTTGATTTATAATTCAATTTTGAAAATTTGAGTTTTTGTATTTTTTTTAATCTTTCAAGAAAACTTTCCATGTTTACCAATCATTACTCTTTTACAACAGCTTTATAATGGTTTTATGTTTAGTTTCTATCTTTACTAGTTTTAATTTTAAAAACTTATTTAATGCTTTCTATGTTAATTTTCTTTAGGGCTCTTTCCCTTGCTTTTTTTCATTTCCTTGAAATGATCTTGGATTTCCCAAAGTTGGGGTGGGATAGTCTGTGGTTATCATTCAGAGGTGTAAATGAAGCTGATATTTTTCTCAGCAGTTAGAAGCTGTCTGATCTCTACTTTGGATACAAAGACTGACAGTACCTTGGTATGTACCCTTAATTTTGGCTTAAAGGAATAGGTAGGAAAGTGAACAATGGCAACTCTGACTTCAGGGTGAGTGGGGAACATTTTCTTAGCAAGTAAACTGAGAACATGGCATGAATGTCTCCTCAATTAACAAAAGTAGCAGTAGAGTTACATGTCTCAGAAGGATAACTTTTCTGATCTCTGGGATTGTTATAGATTTCTTATCATTTTTACATTTCTTGTGTCATTTCAGTGAGATTTTGAAATGTGTAGGAGAAAGATTCTTAGTTGAAGCTGTTGTAATGAAACATTATAAAACTTATAGATTTGTTAGAAACATACTTTTTACTTTGCCTGTTTTTGGTAATTATATGAACCTAATTTCTTCTAAGATGAATATCTAAATTTAGAGAAGTTTCACTCCTGAGTTTGAGACAGCATAATATTGTGGGTAAGGGCACAGGCTCTGGGCCAGGTTTCTTAGTTAGCATCTTAGTTTGTTAGCATAGGTGTTGGGCAAGTGACATAATCCTCAGTCCCCTCAATTTCCTCTAGTGGATATAAAAATAATACCAATCTTAAATGATGTTAGGAAAACTATTTGTAAATATCCTATAACAGCATTTGTCACTTAGTAACTGTTAAATAAATATTTGTTAAGCTGTATATAAAAACATATACTATGAATTCATTTCAAATAATGATTACTCCTGAGTAGTTGCAATATATTTGAATTGCTTAAATTATCATTTTTTGTTATTCTTTGTTTAAATTTTTTACAGCTTATCATGAACCTCATTATTATTACCAGTTCACAGCACAGTATCATGCAGCTCCCTGCAATAGTGTGTATAATATTTCTTTTAAGAAGAACCTTCTTTGGATTTTAAGCCAAATTGTTCACCACGTTTCATGTGAAGTTTCTTTGCTTAAGTCTGAATGCCATCGTGTTAAAATGCAGAGAGCTGGTATACAAAATGAATTGTTCTTTACATTTTCAGGTAAGTATATACAATTCTTTAAAGAAAACAAATTGAGAACACAAAGCTAGTTCTAGACATGTTGTGAATTACCAGCTGCATTTTTAGAATGTAAATGTTACAAATCTGTTTCATGTTCTTTACTTTGACTTAGTTGCAATAATCCTCAAAATAAAATTCTGCTGAATATGTAATAATAAAAAGTTTATGTTCTTAAGTAACTTAAACCTTGCTATAATAATTTATTAGAGAATGGAATTTAGTATAGGAAAATATCTATCATGATATTTAGCTACAAATATTTAATTTGTAACAACATCTAATTATAAGAAATGGTTAATATCCAGAGGGACTGTTCCAACAGCTTAGGGTACTTTTCCTGGTAATGCATGGTGAAGGCCCAATATTTTCTGGAAAATGAAGGACTGGACTTTATACTCTAAATTTATAAAATGCCTGTTTGAGTGAGCACTTTGGAATAACCATCCAAAGTTTTTTTAATGGATCATAGAGGCAAAAGGACCTTGTCTTCTTTTAATTGCAAATAGTGTTGCTTGCTGTTTGCCTTTCCTTCTCCCTTTGTCCTTGATTCCTCTACTGTCAGTGTTTGGTTACACTCATTTCTCTGATTTTCCCTCCTATTTTTTTTGCCAACTAGGATGGAATTTTAGGCACAAGTGAGAGATATGAAGCTCTAAGGGAAAAGAACAAGAGAAGTTCAACACCATTTCACTATCTTTTTTACTGCCTTTCTCTTTTTCAGAAATCACTGATAATTATTCTCCAATACCTGGAGAAAAGTATCACATATAGACTAACTCTTTCTTTAGCTCTTCAAGGACCCACTATTTGTATTCATGAGTTATGGGATCTTTATAACTGGTGTATTTAATAGGTTCTATTAATAGGCACTTAATACTCCTTAGAAAATCAGCAAGTGTACTTGAACTCATAAGAGAAAAGAAATGATATTCAATAGAAATGATGCATTGTGGGCTTGATTTTAATTTCTCTAATAACTAATGATATTGAACATCTTTTAATATGCTTATTAGCCATTTGTATATCATTTTTGGAGAAAAGTCTATTCCTGTTATTTGCCACATTTTTTCCCCAGCTTTATTGAGATGTAATTGACATGGAATGTATAACTGCCTTATAAGCTTAAGGTGTACAACATAAAGATATATGTTATATATTGCAAAATGATTACTACAGTAAACTGAGTTAACACATCTACATTTAGCATAGTTACAATTTATCATTTTTTGTGGTGAGAATTTTAAAATGTACACTTTTAGCAACTTTCAAATATATAATGCATTTTACTCACCGTGCTATACATTATATCCCTGGGCTTATTAATCTTATAACTGGAAGTTTGTATTCTTCATCCACCTCCATCCGTTTCCCCCTGCCTCCACTCTTCACCCCTAGCAGCCACCAGTTTGCTCTGTTTCTAAGAGTTCAGTTTTGGTCGATTCTACATACAAGTGAGGTCATACAGTATTTGCCTTTCTCTGCCTGACTCATTTCACTCAGCAAAATGGCCTCAAGTTTCATCCACATTGTCACAAGTGGCAGAATTTCCTTCCTTTTAATGGCTGAATAATACTCCACTGTATATATGTACAACATTTTCTTTATCCATTCATCTGTCAGTGGACACAAGTTATTTCTACATCTTGGCTATTGTAAATAATGCTATAATGAACATAAGGGTGAAGATATATTTTTGAGAGAGTGATTTCACTTTTTTAGATATATATCCAGATGTGGGATTGCTGGTTCAATAGATAGTTCTATTTTTTTTGTTTGTTTTTTTGAGGAACCACTACTATTCTCCAGAGTGGCTGTACCAATTTATATTTCCACCAGTAGTGCACAGAGGTTCCCTTTTCTTCACATCGTCACCAATGCTTCTCTCTATCTTTTTGCTACTTGCCATTTTAAAGATATGAGGTGGTATCTCATGGTTTAGATTTTTGATTTCCCTGATGATTAGTGCTGTTGAGCATCCTTTCATATACTCATTTACCATTTGAATATCTTATTAGACAAAACTGTCTATTCAGGTCTTTTTCTATTTTTAATCAGATTATTTGTTTTTTGCTTTTCCTTTGTCTGAATTCCTTGCTCTTTTGCCTTTCCTTCTCCCTTTGTCCTTGATTCCTCTACTGTCAGTGTTTGGTTACACTCATTTCTCTGATTTTCCCTCCTATTTTTTTTGCCAACTAGGATGGAATTTTAGGCACAAGTGAGAGATATGAAGCTCTAAGGGAAAAGAACAAGAGAAGTTCAACACCATTTCACTATCTTTTTTACTGCCTTTCTCTTTTTCAGAAATCACTGATAATTATTCTCCAATACCTGGAGAAAAGTATCACATATAGACTAACTCTTTCTTTAGCTCTTCAAGGACCCACTATTTGTATTCATGAGTTATGGGATCTTTATAACTGGTGTATTTAATAGGTTCTATTAATAGGCACTTAATACTCCTTAGAAAATCAGCAAGTGTACTTGAACTCATAAGAGAAAAGAAATGATATTCAATAGAAATGATGCATTGTGGGCTTGATTTTAATTTCTCTAATGACTAATGATATTGAACATCTTTTAATATGCTTATTAGCCATTTGTATATCATTTTTGGAGAAAAGTCTATTCCTGTTATTTGCCACATTTTTTCCCCAGCTTTATTGAGATGTAATTGACATGGAATGTATAACTGCCTTATAAGCTTAAGGTGTACAACATAAAGATATATGTTATATATTGCAAAATGATTACTACAGTAAACTGAGTTAACACATCTACATTTAGCATAGTTACAATTTATCATTTTTTGTGGTGAGAATTTTAAAATGTACACTTTTAGCAACTTTCAAATATATAATGCATTTTACTCACCGTGCTATACATTATATCCCTGGGCTTATTAATCTTATAACTGGAAGTTTGTATTCTTCATCCACCTCCATCCGTTTCCCCCTGCCTCCACTCTTCACCCCTAGCAGCCACCAGTTTGCTCTGTTTCTAAGAGTTCAGTTTTGGTCGATTCTACATACAAGTGAGGTCATACAGTATTTGCCTTTCTCTGCCTGACTCATTTCACTCAGCAAAATGGCCTCAAGTTTCATCCACATTGTCACAAGTGGCAGAATTTCCTTCCTTTTAATGGCTGAATAATACTCCACTGTATATATGTACAACATTTTCTTTATCCATTCATCTGTCAGTGGACACAAGTTATTTCTACATCTTGGCTATTGTAAATAATGCTATAATGAACATAAGGGTGAAGATATATTTTTGAGAGAGTGATTTCACTTTTTTAGATATATATCCAGATGTGGGATTGCTGGTTCAATAGATAGTTCTATTTTTTTTGTTTGTTTTTTTGAGGAACCACTACTATTCTCCAGAGTGGCTGTACCAATTTATATTTCCACCAGTAGTGCACAGAGGTTCCCTTTTCTTCACATCGTCACCAATGCTTCTCTCTATCTTTTTGCTACTTGCCATTTTAAAGATATGAGGTGGTATCTCATGGTTTAGATTTTTGATTTCCCTGATGATTAGTGCTGTTGAGCATCCTTTCATATACTCATTTACCATTTGAATATCTTATTAGACAAAACTGTCTATTCAGGTCTTTTTCTATTTTTAATCAGATTATTTGTTTTTTGCTTTTCCTTTGTCTGAATTCCTTGCTCTCTCTCTCTCTCTCTCTCTCTCTCTCTCTCTCTACACACACACACACACACTTTGGATATTAATGCCTTATCCCATTCTGTAGGTTGCCTTATCAGTTTGTTGATACTTTATTTTGCTATGAACATCTCTTTTAGTTTAATGTAGTCTGCTTGTTTATTTTTGTTTCATTGCTTGCACTTGGGTGTTATATATCATAAAGTCATTGTAAGATCACTGTTAAGGAGCTTTTTCTCTAAGTTTTCTTCTAAGAATGGTTTAAATTTACATGTAGATCTTTAATCCATTTCAGGTTAATTTTTGTGAGTGGTATAAGATAAAGGACCAGTTTCTTTCTTTTGCATGTGAATATTCAGGTTTCCCATATAATTTATCATAGGGAGTATCTGTTCTCCACTGAATATTCTCAGCTCCCTTGTCAAATATTAGTTACCTTATATGCATCAGTTTATTTCTTGGGCTCTCAATTCCGTTCCATAGGTCTGGTGGTCTGTGTGTGTGTTTTCATGCCAGCACCATAACCTTTGTAATGTACTTTGAAATGAGAAGTGTGATGCCTCCAGCTTTGTTCATTTTTCTCAGGACAGTGTTGGTTATTCAGGATCTTTTGTGGTTCCATACAAATTTTAAGATTTTCCTTTTTCTATTTCTATAAAAAATGCCAGTGGAATCTTGATTGGGATTACACTGAATTTATAAATTGCTTTGGGTTGTATGGACATTTTAACAACATTGATTCTTTCAATCCATGAACATGGGATTTAATTGGGTCCTCTCATTTTCTTATCTAGCTAACGGTTGTCCATTTTGTTTATCTTTTCAAAGAACCAGCTGTTGGTTTTGTTAATTATTTCTATTTTTTCCCATTCCCTTTTTCATTTATTTTTGCTCTAACATTATTTTCTTTCTAATGCTAATTTTGGGAATAGTTTGTTTTTCTAGCTCCTTGAGGTATAAGATTGTTTATTTAAGATCCCTTTTTCTTGATGTCTACCCCTTTGTTTTCTTTGAAGAATTTAACTTCCTACATTTAGGTCTGAAATTCATTTTGAATTAATTTTTGTATACAGTGTGAAATATGGGTCCAACTTCATACTTTTGAGTATGGATGTTAAGTTGTCCTAGCATCATTTTTTAAAGAGACTGTTCTTTTGAATATTGACTGTTCTCATTGAATTGGCATGGTGCCTTTGTTGCTTATCAGTTAGCCACAGATACATGGGTTTATTTCTGTGCTGCTACTTCTATTTCAGTGTTCTGTGTGCTTATCCTTATTCAGGACCACACTGTTTTAAACATAACAT